AGTAAGGCCCACTACCGCGTGGCAAGTCTACTTGTGCTCCCATCGAAGCCATTGCCAAAGCGCTGTTATATGAAATGTGCTGACGGAAATTTCTACATTCGCGGTTGTTACTGCTTAACAAATTGCGAATTAATTCAGGAAAATCAGCAAAAAGACTCAAGGTGACATTACCAAAATTGCAGCATAAGTTGAAGCGGCCATTTGTTGGCTTAGCTTCGTTTTGGAAGAACAAAGCACCGCAGTGATCACATGCAACGCAGAGAGGACCCAAGTAGTTTTCTGTGGGTTCGGCTAACGTCGTAGCGATGCTGGCGGCGCGTGGTACTCTCGAGATGTGTTCCACAGATCGGTTCTAAGGATGTACATCTTGTAGCGTACGTGAAATGTTTTAGGACGAAAGTACCTGAACGTTATCGGAGTCGCGAGGAGACTGTACTGTTGAAACTGCGCGGTTGGCTGTAGAATTGGCAGCACAATGCTGGAGTCGAGACATTCTTTCGTCATCGGTCTCGTTTGCTCTTCTGCGTCTTTCTCTTATGCCTCTCGCTCGCAGACGATCTACCCTCTGCTCCTCAATCTCCACCGAGTTCGCACGCCACATTCTCGAATTAGCAGCAGCACGATGAAGCCTTGACGATCTTTCTGCCTCCGTTTCGACCGCCCTCCTTTGTCTCTTTCTTTCAGCTAATAATTAAAGACGTGTTACTTTCTGCTCTTCAGTTTCATTTTGTCTTCGCGTGGCCTTGCTACTGCAATTCTGCTCTGAACTGGCGTTCTTCTAGGATTGTTCGTTATCTGCAAGCACTGCTTTTCTCGTATATAAGGTCCTGCTTTTCATAGCGCAACAAAAATGGTAACAATAGCTTGCTCTGGTTTAATTAAACCAACACTAACATTTGCATGGATTTCTTGCAATCTGTTTTCCATGCCTGTTACATCGAATGAAGATGTTTGCTCAGAAGAGTCCATCGGCAGTGCGGTAGATTGGGATTCTCCATGCTGCGTAAACGTATGCAGCACAGCAGTGGACGATGATGGTTGCTCGCTGTATGAGTCCAGCGGCAATACAATTTGAGTTGCTTCCTCAGCTTATGACTACAACGTAAAATCCAGGGTGAGGGTATGAACAGGCAAATGTATGAAAATGTAATGCTGGCAGATGATTTCCACCTGAACATGTTCGCCACTTTTCTGAATTATGTGAGTCGTTGCTAGTCTTAATCTTCTTTACCGTGTTTGCGTTTGAGGACGGGGCCTCAATAGGCAGTGACTGCTGGATAGAGTAGGATCATGAGTTGAGTACAGACTTGAAAGATGAGAAAGTGAAAAGTTGGGAACACTTATCAAGGTTGTTTTGACAGGCCGCATAAATTTGACTACGGCGATACCGAGGGAAAGAGGGTAGGCAAAGACAGCAGAGACAACAATATCAGAGCGTAACGTCTTCAATGTAGATAGCTGATAGACTGTTAGTAGATTAGCTTCAGGCTCACAGCAGTACTTCATGCGAACAACGCTCGTTAAAAGTTCTTGCACTTATGTTGACTGGTCAATTATAGCGATAGATTATCACACTGCACAGAAATGCCGGACGAGAGAGAAAGTGGACGCTTGCAAACAATTTAGCTCCATTTCCAGACTGTCATGTAGCGTAGAAAATATAGCTCAACCGGATATTACTTAAATCAATGACGAATGAACCGATTGCGCGCCCCATTTGTTAAATCTGAGAACCGCGGCTTTGATTATGCGCATAGGAACGCTAGAAATATTTCAAAATCCACACTTACTGGAACTACGCTGGGAATTAATTTTGTAGGCCTTTATGCCAGATGTTCCCATCGTGACAGCAAAACGCATTTTCTGAGTTTTGTTGAGTTTGTATGATCACCATTAATTAAAGGCACACAATGTCTTTTCTAACTATACTGGATCTCGGTGAAAAATTATTTATGTTCTTTTGAACCCTGCTCCCCAAATAAAACAAACCAAGTTGCCATTCATGCGTTAGAGAGATTTTTTTAATGACTGCATTGCGAAGTTATATGATAACTCCTTCAAGCAAAAATATGGTTCTTTTTGTGTTTACATGCAGCGCAATATTTTTCTGGATATTCTCCAAAGAGTAAGATGCGATGATTTGACAGACGCACCGTTTTGACAAAATCATAATTACAAACAAATCAGATCGATAGAGCTATAGGAAGGCAGGATAGAGTTCCAAAACTTAACAAAGTCGGTGGATGCTTAGCATCCCCGTGCGTGTGATTTCAGGATGGATGAAGGTGCGGTGCGATGAAGCCAAAGTTGCACATGTTTTACGTAGTTTTCTTGTAAAGAGGATCGAGAGTTGGTCGAAGAGCATTCCAATGAAAGAAAGCGACTCAAAAGGTTGAAAATGACTTTGATTGGCACTGCATGAGAGATGATTGCTCAGACTACAGAAATGGTCAAAGCAGAGGTAAGATGGATGCTTTTGGAAAAGGCGCAGCATCACTTTCTCTTGAAGCGATAAAGCATAAAACTACACGGCGCAGATTTTGTGGAAAAACAGAAGTAGATGCTTCAAAAACAGTTTTTTTTTCTATAAAGTGACACCAAGTGTAAAGATAAACAATGTAGGCAAAAGCTGCTAATTCAGGAATGACTAACCGTAGTAATCTGCTAATGTCTTTCCATGATGAGGGCGAAACTGCGGTATCAACTTGCTTAGCGATTGAGTTAGTCGACAATGAGGTAATATGCAAACTCTTCTCGAACCTTGTTCATAACGAAAACGTCTCCCTTGGGTTATGAGCAACTTTTCGAAAAAACCTCATCTTTGGTCTCCAAATGACAATGGCTCCAGACTGTTTACCGTTACAGCGGCATCGCTGATAGGGGGTAGAGGGGGGGGGGTAAGATCGAGTAGACATACGCCGTACGCATGGGTCACCGCCTGCGCTTTATTATATAGAGATATCCCTCCTTTAATGGCAGTTAGAAATTTTCTTCTTGGGCGAGAAGGAGAAAGGGAGTTCAAAATCAACGAATTTTTCCATGATGGCTTCGGCAACACACTCCAAAAAACTCTTTAGGTGGATTTTCAAATTGGAAGTTTTCCAGCCCTAAAATTCAAGAATAAGGGGGCTCCACTCTTACGAGGAATGCTGCCTAACTTAGCTCGGCCTTTTGGCAAAAGACATATAGTTCTGAATCAGCTTTGAACGCTGATTTCAATTATGCTATTCCTAGCTGCCGAGCATCATACCGAAGCGAGTTATGAGCTTTTTCCCGCGCAAAATTGGCATACTACTGAACACGGGAAGGCTGCCTGTAGATATAAATTTACAAGAAAAAGTTGCTGAGATATCGAAATAACTCAAATCCACTCTTTTATCCTTAAAAAGAAGCTTAACGCCAAGTGTATTAGCACTTAGGTGATGATGCCGTGATGCCAGTGAGTGATGAGTGTGCCAATTTCGCGCAGAAAAAAGTTCATAACTTCGGAATGGCGCTCGGCAGCTAAAAATAGCGTACTTGGAATCAGTGTTTGAAGCTAATTTAGAATATATATGTCCCTTGCCAAAAAGCCGAGCTAAGTTAGGTAGCTTCCCTTGTTAGTTTGAGGCATGGCGACATCGGTTACACAGTAATTGTGATCATGTACCCCCCCCCCCTCTCCCGGTTATTTATGGTTATTTCAATAAATTTCACATTTACGCTTTGGCCATACTTTACCCGTGTTCCGCGTTACCGTTTTTTACCAGTGTTACTCATGTTACTAGTGTTACCAGTGCTACTCGTGTTATCGGGTTACCAGTGTTATCAATGTTACGAGTGTTACCCGTGTTACCAGTGTTACCCATGTTACCATTGTTTCGCGTTACTAGTGTTACTCAAGTTACTCGTGTTATTCGCCAGTCAGTGAGACTGCATTCTAGAATGAGACTGCATTTGTGATCATTTCACTACTCAGTAGCAATAGAAGCGGTAACACTTAACTCTAGTAAGACGGGTAACACTGGTAATATGAGTAACAGTGTAACACGGGTAACACTGGTAACATGGGTGACACGAGTAACATGAGTAACACGAGCAGCACTGCTGACAACGGTAACACGGGTAACACGGGTAACACGGGTAACAACGGTAACACTTTACCGTTGTTACTTTTTACCAGAAGGAATGGCCAAGCTTTAGAAATAAATCAATTTAATTCACAAACAATGTGCTAAATTTCAGTTCTTCAATAATCCAGCAAAGAGACATACTAAGATAAGCAGCAAATGTTCGCAATTTTGACCTGTTTCAGTTCTACCGATTCAAACAGAGCAAGTGAACGCAGTGCTGAAGCAATGATGTAATGTTTTTTTGAAATTTTTTCAACCTATGGAACACTGCAAGCTCTCGTCCACTCATAAACACATTTCATGTGCATATCGAAGGTAAACTAGCAATTCAACATAACACATTCAAAGTCGAATGGTCACATTAAATCTTGGAAGGTTCTCCTTTGGAACATTTGATAGAGATCTCTGTTTCCTTGTGCATTAGGATAGTAAATGGAATGTCCAAAAAATCAAAGATACAGTTTGTTAGCTCGCAGATTAGTCTTTTACACTATACATCTACCAGCTCGGAAACTGGAATGGGCACACGTCTGAAGTCAGGCTGTGAATCTGATTTAACATCGAATTCGCATTTTTCCCCTCAAGCCGTTAGACATTCAGAGAGTAGAAACTATAAGCTAAATGTTGCATCTAATAACATTTGAACACAGATTACAGGATCTGAATAAATGTGGAAGCATCATAAGCTAGAAACACTTTACTTTTCATTCGAAAATGTGACTGATTTTGATCAAAGCACACGCTTTGTTTACTGGACTATTTACACCATTTTCGGCATATGCGGCTACCGCCAAGCTCATTCTCCCTTACTATAATTTGCTACGGGATCACAGAAACAGAAAAGGAAGACAAATAAACGAACAAAATAGAGCTGAAGTTCTCACTTACCTTATATAGTAGACTCTGAGGAAGTTCAAACTTGTTCTAATAATCGTAGCTCAGCTAAGGCGAAGGATTTGTTACTGAAAAAATGCCTCGATTGAGAAGGATGGTGGTATTTACCACAGTATAGGTAGATTAACGAAATGTTGTATCAGTTGGAAATAGAAGAAAAAAAAAGAACAAAATAACAGAGAATATCTACAAAGCCTTCATCTACAACAAGTAAGTCACGACCCTAAGAAAGTGGTTGCTGATTACGTCAGGACACTGATCTCGAGACAGCGGTTGAATGACCTTTGAACTGAAATGCATAATAAATACAAATATTTGCTTGATGAAACAATGAACCATAAGAACTAAAAAAGAATACAGAATTAATGTTTATGAAGACTTTCTTGTTATGCACTTTGTATTGTTCAATATGTTATTGGCTTTTTCGCCATGCTAGAGTGCGTCCATCTCTGACAAAAGAAGGAGTCTACAACCAATGTCAAAGCTTGAGATTCTGTGTACATATAACGTTCACAAAATAATTGGAACTCGCAAGATTCGCGAGATTTGGGTAGTTCGGGCCTGCTCAAAAATCTTTTTCATGTCATAAAATTCAGATGTGGAAAGAGATCCATGCTCAGTTTGTTGAGATAGGGTTTTTGGTTATCCCGCTTCTTTGATCCATGAGATATGGTAGATATACGATGGAGCACCGAAGCGAGAAAAACGCTCCAGAAGTTAGAAGCGGCCAAGGTGGCTCCGCCCATCAACTTTTGCAATAGCCAAAATCCTATGGAACCGCTGCAAATCTTGCTTCTCCGATGAATCATCTGAGATCATAAATACAACATGTCATGTGAAAGAGGCAACTGATTGTGGGAGAGAAGAGAAATTTGGTGAATTCTGCAAGGATTCTTCAAATTGTCCATTGTGACATAGTAATAGTTTCCTATAGTACAAGTAGACATATTTGGCTTTCATCATTAAGCAGCACAACTCTGTTATGGGGATCGCACATGGAAATTGTGATTTTATTTATTTATTTATTCTGGAAGCCAGGCACTGCTCAGTCGGGGACACATGCCCAAACATTGCGTACAACAGCAGCATAGTTTTGTGTACCAAGACAAATTTATCTTCTAAAATGTTTTTTAACCCATTTTCTGGTTCAACGGTTTCAAAATAAACACAAACATCTAAAAGTTATGATAATCATCGTGTCCACGATAATCATCATGTCCCCAAATGAACTTATTAGATTTGCACAGAACAGGGTAAAGTGTGAGGATCCCTGCATCAGATTGTGAGTGGCGAAACAAACGGCAGTGAGGTATCTACTTTACGTCATCGTTTGAATCACTCGTGGCTAATCACTTCGTGGTTCAAAGAGGAAGATATATTCTGATTATGGCTGAAAGCGATGAGGATGTTCTAGTGAACATTTTAGTTTGTCTTGCTTTTAACTGATTTTGAAAAATCTGTTAAAGTGCATAAAACGTGCATCTGATTCAGAAGAAAATTTTTTGGACTGACACGTATTCCGGGAAAACTCTTCAGAGAAATAGGTCCGGATAACGGAGAAGTACCTCGGTAAGCTATGCAGCTCAGACTTGAGCCGACACTGCAGACGCCTCAAAAACTCCACGGATCTTTCAGAGGACTTTGAACGCAATCTCCTGAAGAATACCCAAATCATCTCGTCATACTTCGCAGTATGGAAATGAGGAGAATATGCTGTCTTTATGGTCTTGCAGAATGTTTCGAAGACGAAGCATTGATGGACCGGTCACATCTTGACAGACAGACGACAGATGGGGACCAAGATCATCTATGTGGATCTCTGCGAAGCAAAACATTACCGAGGAAGACCATCTACGAAATGGACGGAAGTGTTTGTGCAATTGCACCGGCTGAAAAATCAGCTGGATGTGATTTTCGCACCTGGGACTGTGGACGCCTTAACAGCCAAGAAGATTGTGTGTGTCTAAGGAAAGAGGGTCAAAAAGATAAGTGAAATTTTACGCTGTGATCGCACAGCAAAAAAATTCACTTGTAGACAGTCCATCTAATCATTTATGTTTGAGGAACAGACATGAAAGTAATTAATAATAATGCGCTATTTCATTAAAGCTGATAGTTGCAATGAAAACATGTCCGAAATGAACGGAAAATGCCAATTTTTCCTGTCACATAATCATCAGAAAATCAAAACTACAGCATGTTTCATAATTTACACTTCACTGGAAAATGGTCCTAATTACAGAGAAATGGAAAGCTCGTTACAAAAACGACGTAGCAGAACTTTGACTTACCTGCATTTGACAGAAAAGAAAAGGTAACAAACTCAACATACCCGCTTATATTCCCAAAGAATTCAGAAGGAAGCGCCTGCCAAGGTCAGCGAGTATCAGCTGAAAGATTTACTAACTGTCAACTGATACAAATCACAATCACCTAGTAAGTGCAGGATATGAATATACTAATACTGGTGCAAAATATCCCTTATATGTAATTCGAGACATTGCGCCAGCTTCAGAGATAAGGGTCTTCTCCTGGAATGCATGTAGACGATATAAGAAGCAATCCTCATTCTGATCGCCAAGGTCATAGGCCAATAAGATTTCAAACATTGTAAGTTCAAAATTCAAAGTATTGTACCAAGTTTCTAGACGCGGGTGGCGAATCTATCAAATTGGGAAGAAAAGAATGACGTTTTTTTACAACAGAACAATAGGACGAATCGGAAAAATAGGTGAAGGATATCATCCGATAGAGGAAAGCGAGCTTTACAGGATGGCATCTGAACATCGAAGCCAAAACATAAGAGCAGCTAATAGTGCCAAAAATCGGTTTTCTCAAAAAATCCCAGGAACCTCTCACTGGCTCCATCATGTATCCATTTGTGAGTGCCATACGAAAACGAAAAATTACAAACTCCGCCCCTAGTAGTCTCCTGGGCTCTGCCCATATATGCAGTATTGTATATACCACAAATTCGAGACTTTAATCATAAAATTTGGGTTTTCGATATGCTCTAGTTCCAGAGAAATACCAAATTTGGCTGAGAAAAACCGAAAAAAACGACATCCCTTCCTTTTCATCCTAATACGTCCTTTCTATAAGAGTTGAATATGTCAGAAATGTACTGAAAGGTTCTTTCTAGGAAGCACCATAGCAGCTTGTGTGTGCGCAAATAGGTTGTATTGCCAATTAGTACTTCGATCTTTGCATAAAGGACTTTTCCTACGTTTTTGTTTTACGAATATTTGTGGAATAACGAAAATCATCAGAAAGCGGTTGAGTTTTCTGCTCCATTTAACGGAAAGTAGGATGTAAGCATCGCCGCCGATAGTCGCCTTTGCGTACTACTTTTCCTGAAGCGGCATGTACTAACATGCAAAGAGACGGACAGACGCCCATCAGCCGAATTTTTCCTTCATCTGACAGAAATGATGATAGGAGAAAAAAAAGATTAGACGTCTCAGCTCTTTTTAAACGGTCCTTGGCGCGAATCTTTACCGATTACAATGCCTCGAATAGAAATATTTATGTGCAAAACCGAATTTCCTAGAAAAATTGAGTAAGTGTGGAAAGAAAAAAGTGCTCTAGAGGATGCAGATGTTCGAGAGTAAATCTTTTTGAGCTATCCAAGAAAAAACACGTCTCGAATTTCATGATTCTGATGTTTCGAGAAAGAGCCGCTAGTTAGCCCAAAATGAACTGTAACTTGCTTACATAGCAAGAATCCATACATTACTACTGTAGACCCCAATCTTGCATGGTCTCACAGGAAAATTGCAGAAACAAAAATTTGCAAATGAATTTTACAAAAGAGTAGCTATATGCTGTTGACGTACAAAAACATCACAGTGTTAAGCACTTTATCAAACTTTCGTTCTCGAGTCGTATTTCTGTAAAAAAAGAAGCAAAAGCAATTTTCTATGAAACTACATTTTTTTGTAAGTTTCGTTTTCGATGGTTTGTAGCTTCTATGATGGAATGCATGCTCTGTTGTTCTAACAACGAGAAAAAATGGTGAATTTAGGTCTGAATTTGAAAAACTGTCCAATTCTATTTGAATTGCGTAAGCTTGATATAACCAATATTTTTCGAACATGCTTGTCATAAGCAGCAAAATAGGCTTTAAGAGCACGTGTGATTGGCTGGAAACAAATTCAATTGGAAATTCGTGAGCTGACTCTCGAAAAAATCCCATTGTTTGACAAGAATTTCATAAACACAAAAAATTATTCCGCAGTCGCTTGATATAATGAAGTCTTGTAGATCGGAAAATGGAAAATTGAATAGAGACGAGAGTGACACAAAATTTTTTTTCAGTTACTTAGCGCAATTATTGATTCATTTCAAGAAGTCTCATTTCGTCAGGAAGGAAACGTATTACGTGTCAAGAAATTTTACTGAAATTATGAAGATAACCTTATCGGAGAAGCTAGATAAAACAGAAATTATTCCAGAAAATTTTTAGATGTGAGGTTGCACGAAACAGCGCTGGTTGAAATGTCCAAAGTACAAGATAGAAGATCAATGAGTTTTCGCGCCAAGTATTTGGAGAATTCCTTCCTGAAATTGCCTTATAAAATACGTAAAGGAGCATTACTTCTTGAAGCGAATTTGTGCTTTTAAGAAGAAAAAACGCTGCATTGTTTTGTCTGGTAATGAGTACTAAGATGATTACTGAAGTTATTTGTAAGGTCATAGATCAAATCTGTGTAGTTAGAAACGAAGCAGAATGGGACGATCGGGGTACATATCAAATCTTTTTAACCATGTGTTTGAAAGAGGACCTTCATATTTGGAAAAAGTATTATGCAGTGTAGACAGAAATAATTCTAGGGTAAAATCATAAGAAAATGCAATAGAACGAGTGAGTATCATTTCAAAGGCCGAACATGTAACCACAAATCATCAAGAAGAGACTGTTTCCAAATCTTTGAACTTCTACCTGATCCTCTAGGTTGAGCTAATCAAGCTGGTCCATTGCCAGTGTGTAAGTTCCCACGTCAGCATTAAGTTATTCTTCTAGAACTTGGAACTAGCGCCATTTAAGACTTTCAGTCTTCAAATATTATCCAAAATCGTTTGCAACTTTGTTTTTTCAATCTTTAATCGGAATTTGTTTATTTGAAGCTTTCAGATTTTAAATTCGTTCAATACTCGCTCACTGAAAAATCTTGAATTACAAAGTATAATTGACTCCAATCGCAGGTAACGAGCCCCCCCCCCTCCGCCCTCCTCCGTATTACAAGCTCTGTAGAAACGATATCGAAGCTTTCGATTTGTTGTTAAACGGTGGCCAAGATTGGTATGGTGACAATTTACTACTTGGCTAACGTTTTTTTTATTTAAATTATGCCAAGATTCATAGAAGTTCGAACCTGGAGGTTGATATCGAAGCTGATCGTTTGTTAATCAATGTTTTAGAAAAAATTTGTCATTGTGGAACCCTAGAAATTCCATATTATTTTAATTCCATTTATTCAAGTCAGCTACCATACATCCATCATATTTTCGACAACTTTTTCCTCTCTTCGTTTCCTGTTATTTATCGATAAACTTTATTCAAAAGCTTGATAGCAAACAAACGACGAATCACTCACTTATACCAGCCACTAATTATACTAGATCACTTCCTTCCAATCCCTTTTGATGCCATTTTTCGCGAAAGTCGGTGGAGCAAAACTTTACCGCCTACCACGTTTGTCGTTTCCTGTTTTTGAGTTGTGTCACCAAAATTCTGAATTTTGGACTAAGTAACTCACATCAATTTTGCGATCACAAATCACCTTATCTGGCCATTTCTGGATTGGTCGGTGATCATACTTTCATCGTGATGACTTCACATGCCTAACGTTGACGCCGAAGAGACATCAAAAAGCAGACCTATCTTTGTGCTTACAGTTTAGATCTTTGAGAAATTTAGCATTTACGGGTAGTCAGCGGGAGCTACAGCATTCTATGTATACACGTCGCAAAATCTTCGAGATCTTTCTTGAGCGTTCACACCCATTCGAGACGTAGCATAACATAGTTGACAAAAATGGAATCTTCGCTTCCTCAGATTTTTGGTTTGTAGTCAATTTTTCTATCCGAATTTTTGACGAAGATAATGCAAGCTATTTGGTAAAGCACACTTGGAGCTTCGGAACGCATTACGAACATATTCTCAAAAGCTTTACGAGATTCTGAGAAAAAATAAAGCAAAAAATGCGAACGAACCTCTTTCAACCCAGTATCACCTTCATAATAATCACAATCTTATATATAAAGCTGAATGTCTGTCTGTCTGTCTGTCTGTCTGTCTGTCTGTCTGTCTGTCTGTCTGTCTGTCTGTCTGTCTGTCTGTCTGTCTGTCCGTCTGTATGTCTGTCTGTATGTATGTACGTATGTGCGGAATAGAAATTTTTATTTCTGAACCGATTTGGACCAAACTTGGCACACATATGCTTCGGGGCAGGGAGCGTGTTATAGGCTACTTTTCGTTATCGATCGATATCGATTTTATCGATTTTTTGCAAAATTTGAGCTACAGGGCTGGGAGTTGGCACAGGGGGGTAATCGAGCATGCTGATTACAAATATATTATTGACAGGCCCGGGCGGAGCCGGATTTACCAATTATTATATAATAATATGCCAAATGGTCGCCCCGAGCAATCGCAGCGAAATCAGAAAGAATTTTTCCCGGATTAACAAATGCAGAATGATGATTTGAAATGCTTGTAAAGATCAGCTCTCAGTTTTTTACTTCGCGATTGCAGTGCGGCTTGTACGCTCAAAGGCATTGTCCAGGTCAACTGGAGGGTGGTGGGATTTTGAGATTTTGACGCAGTGCGGAAGCAGGCTCCTGACTGATGCAACAGTCCAAGTCCGATCGAAAAAGGTGAATTCTGAAGCGAGAAAATCGCTTCGGAAAAGAGGGGCGGTACGCCAATCCCCCTCCCCCTTGACAAGTTTTGACGTGGTTAATACACATTAGATCAACAGCATTCGCCACGTCAAAACTTGTTAAGGAGGCGGGATTGCGTACCACCCCTTTTTTCCGAAGTGATTTTCTCGCTTCAAAATTCACCTTTTTCGATCGGACTTGGACTGTTGCATCAGTCAGGAGCCGTGTTCCTGCACTGCGTCAAAATTCCACCACCCCCAATTAACCTGGGCAATCCCTTCAACGAAATGCTTACAAAAAATTGCGTTGCTGTCTGCGAACACACTTCACATTGCTCTTGCGCAAGATCAGAGCAACATCCGAACAAAAGGAAGACCAGATAACAGGATCGATATCAGGTTGGAAAAGGATGTTTTCGTCTAGTTTTTTCTTGTGGCCAAATCTGATATTTTTTAAGAGATTGGTACAAGGTTTATCCTTCGAGTTCGAATTCTTGTGCAATCGCATAAATGAGAGGAACTTACGATAGGGCGGCTAGCGAAGCCCGAGAACGAGGCACTTCTGTAGGGCGAGATTCAACTTAGATTTACAGTGTGGAGCGAATCACCGACCGCTACTGTTGTGGAACCATTGTGGAATATGCCATCTGATAAAATTCTATTAAAAAAATCTGAAAAATCGTGTATTAAAGTTTTCACGCACGCTGTTTCCACTACACAACTTTTGATGGTGCAGTCACATTTCTGACAAATGCTGGAAATTCTTGTTACGGTTTTCCCGGGGTTACTTTGAAAAGGCGCATCACAAAAAAATGAAAATTCTATATTCGAAATCAGCGACTTACAGTACTATAGTATAAGAGTTTTTGGCTTGTTTGATTTCGTTCTGAGGCTGAATATGGCCTCCAATGGCCTAAAATTCTTGTCGAAGTTCCTACCGTAATCCCACAGTAATGAAGAGCAATGATGATTCGCTTCACTGTAGATCTAGTTGAACATCGCTCTACAGAACTGTGTCTTAAGGTCGGCGAAAGACATGAAAGCAAGGGAGTAATTAACGATGAAACAGTGTTTACATTTTTATAGGACACCCTGTATATGGATGAGCACGGCAGAAGAATAAAGTAGGAAATTCTTAGGAATTCTTGGGACAAGATGCGATTCTATGAATTTGACTTCAATGCTTGCGTTGATCGCCACTTATGCGGGGGTTCGCTGTTCTTGAATGCTTCGCTCTATCGGTTGATACCCTTCATAGATTCTTCGCGTTCGTCTTATTGCTTTGCCGTGAACAACGACATTCTCTTCTCCAATCCCAAATTCCACTGAGTCTTACTCCATTATTTTCGAGTGATTACTTCATACATAGTCTACACAGGCTGAATTCCCTATTTTCTTTTAAACCATTGGGTGACTGGACTTGAGCTAACTTATTGGATAATTGCCGTTTTGTTCTTTGTATTTGTGCCTGGTTATGTTCTCGTGTTTTGTTCTGGTTATGGCACGCCTTGTGCGTAATACATAAACATAAACAACCCCACCCCAGTACTAGTCGGAGACTGTGGGATCAAAAAGCGTTTTTCTGTACCTGCAAGAATTTGCTGACCATTGAGTCACTACCGAGTGCACTTTGTTCGTTGGCAATTGCACAACATTGCGTAAGACTTGTTTTCCTAGGTGAATGAAAAACGAAACGAATCATTGCCTGTCACCTTCACATGCTCTCTCTTTGTATCCACAGCTTTAGTTTCTCGTCCCTTGTTTACTCTAAGACCACCATCGTAACTTGTTTTGCAAAAATACATTTTTTCGTACAAAAATTTCTATGGACTTCAACTTCTAGTTGAATCAGAAATCATGTAGAGCATGTGTTCGCATCGCATTTGCCGCTATCTTTTCCTTCGTAGCAGTACCTTTAAACGTCGCTCGACGCTCTGGCTACGAGAAATTTTAAATAGCGAGAATACCATGGACTTGCATCTCGCAAGATCTAAAGATGGTCCCTAAATACGTCATTTTTTGAACCTTGGCTGACATCAAATCTTTGCCTTTTTGTTTTCAAGTATGCTCCTTTATTCATCTTTTATGGGGAAATCTCAAATGATTTGCCTCCATATACTGCCAAGCAAACTTAGTCAAACAGATTTTCAAGATGCAAGTTTTTTTTTGATTTCAAAGCTATCTGAAACCAATGAGCTCAATGCAGTAGATCATTTTTGGTAGTTGTTGCAATCTCGAAATAAGCACCATTATCTATGAAATGTTTTCCCTAAGATACTGCAAAGTTGATGTCAGAGAATGGCAGCATTACGGATCCACATGTTAAGCAGTGGCGTACCGAGGGGGGGGCGGGGGGGGGCGCGCGCCCCCCCCCCCCCCCGAGAACGGGTCGCGAAATTTTTGAAAATTACTTACATGCGTTATAAAAATGTGCAAATGACTTGTTTATTTTTGTAAACTATTAAAATAATTTTTAAAATTTTTTAAAAATTCAAATTAGCCTTATAAAAAAAATTTTTTCGGGGGCGTGGCGTCAGCCACGCCCCCTTTTTCCAGATTTTATGGGTTTGGGGCCCACAAAATTGTTGAGAAGCCCCCCTAAAATTATTTCGGAGTGCGTGGCTAACGCCACGCACCTTCATTTGAAAATTTTTTTTGCCGCGCCCCCCCCGAGCCGAAATCCTGGGTACGCCACTGATGTTAAGATATAACATAAGTCTTGAGACACTCTCACTTCTTACGGCGTTAAGTCATACTGTCCACATTTTCAATAGGGATCCAGGATATCATTCGATAGTACTCTGCCGCAGAGCAGGAAATCCACATTGGAGAAGCCCTCCTCCGCGAAGTATCTCAACTTTTATACCATTTTCTTGTATGAAGTCAAACATTATGGCCTCGCACTTGCGCGATGGCTTCGGGGGGGGGGGGGGGTCCAGTTTCGCATGACACTGAAGTCCCAACCTCCTATTTGTCCGGACACTGCTTCGTGAATGCGGGTTAATGGCTTGAGCTAAAAGTTACCCTCAAGAGTAGGGTTTACCCTCAGTGTTAGTTGATGTCTACGGCTACAGGTATCTGCTGAGGTTAGGGCTGTTCAATGTGCAGATAACATCGCATCATCTATCAGAAGAAAACATTCCTCATAACTATTTTAGGAGAAGAAATAAACATTTTTCATCTCAGAGCAACCACAATGTCGTACATCAGTGGTGAAGAAAACGGCATTCTGTATGTTTTTATATAGATCCAGCCGAATTTCCAAGGTTTTTAAAGATTGATTTTCGCAGATGTCAAAAAGACACTCGCGCAGACAATTTGCATAAAAGGAGGGAACAAAGAAACGTGGAAAAAGAAAATTTCTTCGTGACCAAGACGCTGTACGACCCTGAGAACATGCTAAGCAAGGTATGGTTGACTCTCTTGTGCTGGGCAATGTCCAATGTAGCATTACTTAGCGATGCAAAAAGAAACTGCTCTCCGAAATTCTCAGCAGTTTTTCCCCGAATGTTCCGTACTCAGTGAATAAAAGCAAGAGGTGGCAAAAGTTCACTACTAAGTCAATATTGAATGATGCACAAGAATACTTACAGCGAATTGAAGCTGTGGTAGTGCATAGGACAGAGGTTCCTTTAAAAGGTATGTTAGCAAGTACCCTCTGATTCAACAGGATTGGCGGCTGGTGGGCGGGCTCACGTACTCGCGGCCTCCTCGCCTGGCTCTGCACCTCTTTCCCGATCGTGCTCTCTAGTGATTGAAGCTCCGCCTTTCCCACGCTCGTGATGGGAAAGTAATGAGGGATCAAGCTCACGAAAGAGGTGCAGAGGCCAAGCAGCCCGCCCCCCAGCCGCCATTCTTGTTGAATCAGAAGATATTACAGTTTGCAAACGATATATCTATAGGTGTCAACGAATGTAGCAATATTCGAAATTTTGAGATCATCGAAGACGGAAAGATAGGAAAACTTTCCTCCACTGAAAGAAGTAAACACGTTAGTTTTGACACAAATTGATTCTGGCTTTTCTGAAGCGTGTGTTTAGCTTAAATATTTCAATAACCGAATGCGAGCATTGCGGCATCTAGACAAGGAAACCATTGAGCCGCCGAGGATTCACATAAATTTTAGCAAGGATTACCCCGCGAAACCTCGCAAGAAGAAATCAAAACGAGGTGAATCTTTTAGTTTTTCGAAAATTCGTTCGCAACTCTCGCACCTGGATGGAATTTTTTATAACATTTTAGTTTGAAAGAAAACATCATGCGCTTTGCAGCAGTATCTTTCTTATTACAGTATGAGAAAACTGGAGAGCTAAAAGAAAATCAGGAAAATTGTGATGCCAAAAAAATCCAATTTCGTAGATTACAATTTGAGCCTATCAATGACAAAAGTCACCTGGTATCTTTAGTGACCTTGCTTCAATAAAACAATTTTGCATGATTTTCTTCATTTGTTTCTAAATCTGGCACTTTCTCATAATACATACGGCAAAGTTTTGACAGTAATGCGAATGATTTCGGCTTCTAAACAAGGACGCTTCCAATTTTCCTGACCCTGTTCAAGAAATAATATTTTGAGTAGTTTTTCATTTGGTTTTGAGTCTAGCTTTGTTCAACAATACTGATACACATCAAGGTATTGTTGTTAAGCGCATGATCTCTGTTTTCCAACAAAATTACTTCCACGTATTTTACGCAAAGAAGTTCTGGTTTTTTAAAATATGCGAACTTTGGCACCAACCCCATATTTACATTAAGCAAGATGATTTGATTCCATGCAGCTAATAGACGAAGAGTTGTGCTTGAAAAATATGTTTCTGACTGTGCTGGAGATGCGATAGAGACTGGCAAATTGGAGAAAAACGGGAAATCACAGTATGATATTTTTTTGCTTTGAATTATCTGTAAATCGCTTGTTTTTTTAGAAGTCCTCTTCACCTTGCATGGAAAGAGCGGAAGTCCGAACCTGAGCATCGTCTCAGCCAGCAATGTCCTGACCTACCGTTAACTTCACAAGTACTTAAGAAAAGCTTCGATACTGAGGTACACTCTTGTATTGGTTCACCGCCACTGAAAATAACCTTTAGGCGAGGCTTTGTGACCTAACTAAGGCCGGCGCCCGCGACGCACTCTGCGTCTCTCGCGCGCGTTTTGTCTGATCATTATCTAGCCTTAATTAGGCCACGAAGCCCCGCCTTTCATCCGCCAAGCCAGTTGAATCAAGGGACCAATGCTGTATCGTTTTTTCAGATAAAATAGTAGCACCTTTTGTCGCTCAAAAAATGATACATCATTACATCACTTGTTAGGCAATGAATACCCTGCTCCCAAAATTATGTTGACAAACTTTGACTCAGAATTTTTTTTTGTTATATCAAAAAGTATCAGTAACCTGTTATCATTTGAAAAATCGGAATGTGATACTTTTGCTCAACAAAACTTCATCTGAAATCGTTTATGTTATGAGCTTGGAACGGAATTCCGCAAGAATTGATTCAAAAAACAATCGACAGGTTTCCAAAAAAAAAACTGTGTAAACATATTCCTGAAAAAAAATTAGTATCGTTCACGATAAAATGCATTTAATATGCCGCTGGAAAGATGAGATCGTAAGCTACAAATAAGATCTAGGACGTTTATATATCTCTGTTAATGTTAGATCAAAAGTTTCTTAAGATTTTCTTCATATTTCATTATGTTTACCTCCTTAGCAGACCTTACTTTGGAAAAAGGTAAAACATAGCCTGTTGAGCACCCATAATGAAGATTTTCAAACGGACTTTTTACAAATCGATTTGCAGAAATTTATCATCCATCATATTGTACCAACCTCGCATTAGTTAATTCATGTTTACGCTATTAAAAACTCAGTTTTGACGATCGAATATGCCATCTAATGCCGAGCTCTGTACAGATTCATTCTCATCGTAATGTGTTCTGATTCCCATTTCTCCTTTCTTTACTATGAAACTGATGATCTGTAAAGCAAGGAACTTCACTGAAAGTACCTCCACGACTAAGGTTTCGTTCTAATTGGTAAATATGAGACGAAGAAGACGAAGAGTGGCAATTTGAAATGAAAAAAAACTAAAGGAAGATTTTAGCCTCTGCATCAAGTCTGCAGCTTTAGGATTTCTTCAAAAGGCCAAGTCTGCTGGATGTTACTGCTGCTATCGAAGCTCCTCATATCCTTGAAGTGATTGAAATCAAAATCAAGAAATTGGACATTATTGACCTAAGAAAACAAGTACGAAAATATCTTTTCAGATAGTTATTAAGCCGAAAATCGTTACAGTATACATGATTTAGTTTTTACCTTCGGTACCGCCTGCATTCGTTGTGCGATGGTTCGGTTCGAATCGAGTGTCTATCAGTAGTCCATCTTATGCGAAGCCATCTTTCGTCATTTTTTTCGAACACGAAGAAAACGATACAACCTTCAGGTATCTAGTCAGAATATAATCCGTAAGAATTTTTATATATTGGGATGAGTGAAAACTATTCCTTAAACCTGCACTAGGGTCCGAATCAACACCAATTCGCAGTACTGTGAGGAAGCGAATAAAGAAAATCTTTTGACTATTGTTCAAGATAGGATCTACAGAGATCATGAGACGCTATTTGATGACTTATACAAATTCATCTTGCGCACAAAAAAGATGTAAGTTGAGTTTTTCACCTCCATTACTGGTCTACAAAAGAAAATTCGTAGGGACTATGAGGTTAATGATGATGGCCGTCGATTTGCTATATGTCCCGAATCTTTCGATTACAATGTTAATAGTACAGTGATAGCTCCCAATGTGAGCCCCAAACTCCGTTAATGTCACTTTTTTTTAGTTTTTTAATATTTTGAAAGCTTCACATATTTTAGGCTACCTTATTTATGGAACAAGAGCAGTTGGATCATCTTAGCCAGTTATACACTCAACAAAACCCTGAAATCTCGTCATTCGAGTTTATACACCAGGCTGTAAGTATATCTCGAAATCTAACATTTATCCAAGGGCAATGCTTTAGGGAGACCCGAAAGTTTGCTGCATCTGCCGAGTTGTAAATGACGATTTGTTCTCTTCTATAGACGGCTTGATATGCCGTGATTGCACAATTTCCTCCATAACTCGACAACTATACACGAATCAGCCTCACATACAAATTCCTGTAATAATTGATATTTTTCGGTTTAAAAATGTTTCAAAACTATCTTCAATAATTACAGATTGTTGCTCCTCCAAATAGTTCTCCAATCGCGCTTCTCGCCGCTGTCGTTCCTTTACCTTTGCTGGCTGTTTTAGTCAGAGTAAGTCACACATTTTTACTCTCAGGACGATCGCTGCTTTTGAGAATTGTGGCTATATCAGCTCTTTTATCTTACACTTGTTCTATGAAATGTCCTTCCAATACCAAAGCTGGAAATTTCTGGCATCTATATCAGTCCCTTATTTTTCTGATAAGATCATTAAGTTTCTCTAGAAACCGATGTTTTGGCCGCAAATTATTGTGAAAAATGGTCCAAAAACACTATATGCTATACAGCTTATGTATGTGTCGAAGAACATGATTATAAAATTGTAGTTTTTTTTTTACCTCAGGCAATATTCGATTCGATTCAACATTTCTTATTCTGCAAAATATCACTAATCAAATATTCGACATGTTTTATTTTTAGAGTTCGACGTTCAAGTATTCAAATTTTTTTGATTGTTGAATATATTCGAATATTTGATTATTCAGAAATTCGTGTATATTCCAAGGTAACCATTACTAATTGTTTTCGTCTATGATTGATTCATTGAGCCAGATTAGCATTAGAAAGCAAGTAAGCTATAAAATACTCTCATTGTATTTCTTTTTCTACCTCAGAATGTACGAACGAGAAATTTGCCTGAACGTGCGACTATATGAAGCATGACAATTTCCATACGTAGTCACCTTTCATTCTAGAAATTCGAATCATTCGCTGTAACAGTGCACCCTATTTTATGTTTTTTTCTTCATTTTCGGCGTTATAAGAAGTGAATTTGAACGATGCGTGAAGGTAACGTCCAGGTAATCTTGGTGGCTTTCTATATGCATACCGGTCGGGAGGAACCCAGTTCTGAGCACTCTCTTTGATTTTTAGCTGAGTACTCTCTTTGTGATCATATATTGTTGGAAAATGTAAGAGAATGTCTACTTGAACTATTTCACTATTTGCGGTGGATTTTCTCATATTTATGCCAGAGAACTGTCTAAAACTTTTCTTCCATTGAGAGATACTTTTCTTTGTCTGTTCATTGATTAACACCATATCCGTCCATGCAAAGATGTCAAATTTCGAAGGGAAGATAAAAAAACATCAAAGTTAATATTTCAGAAGCTGTACGCTCAATTCCAAGGACCGAATAATCCCAAACTGCAGTTTTCGAACTGTCCCCGTTGCTCAGCAGTACTTGTTCCCGCACCTAATTCTGGTAAACTGTAAAAATCATGGTGCTTTTTCCCTTTTTTCACTCTCATTTTTAGAATTTGGCTGTTGCTCATGTACGAATCCGGGTTGTGGTTGTGCGTTTTGCTACTTTTGTGAATCTGAGCCTCACTGGCCAATGAGTTGCGAACAGTACAAACGCTGGACTGCTAAATGGGACACTCAATGTATTTCTTCTTTTATTTTTTCGTCTCAGCATACGCATCGAAGCATTTGCATCTTTCAGATCTGCTTGAGCAAAAATTCGTAGATGGGGCAGGCCATGTGCGGCTGTGCGTTCAGTGTGGAGAAGCATTCCAGGTCTATCCAAACTCTGCACATGCTCGATGTCCTCGTGAGATATGCAGATCGGGTTACTGGTCTAATTGGGAATTCCACCACTGGCACGATTACACTAGACCTTACTCAGAGAAAATTTTGAATTGCATGGCGTCGATAGGATACACCATGAAAAACTGTGGAGAATGTGTAAGTTTACAAGGGAAGGACACTAAGGGCCGCATGCGTTAACACCCCCGCCGGGGAGGGGATCCTGCTTAAATCTTCGTATCCTGGAGCTCCACATGCCTGGATCACGTTGTCCTTCTATCCGTAAGTATTCCTACTACCCTTAACTATAAACATATTGAACGCGAGCGAGAAGTTGTACAAGCAGAATTTTTCAACTTTCTGTATGATGCCTAGATGATCCTCGGCAGCCAATCATCTTTTTTCAAAGTCATTTTTCTTTCTTCAAAGTAGATGAAACCATTCCAAGCTGTATTCATTGTCTAACCTAAAAGTGCTAAGCATGTTGCTGATAGGAACAAATGATGTCTCGGAGTCATGAAAATTACATGAACCACAAGTCGAAAGTTGGGGTTTATCGAAAATTTCGATATTCCAAAAACTCATTCGCTTCTACCAGAAACATGCTTAGCACTGTTGGGTTAGATAATCAGTGCAATTCTGGAATGTTTTCGTTGACTTCGAAGAAAGAAAAATTACTTTGAAAGACAGACGGTCGGCCGCCGGGGATCAACAGGAGTATATACAAAAAGCAGGAAAATGCTGCTTGTACATCTTCTATCTCGTGTTCAATACGCTTATAGTGAAGAATAATAGGAATATTAGGTCGTTCCATAAGTTCGTAGCGTTTTTATAAACCAACAAAATCATCAATTTACAGAAATCACTCAAAATTATAATCCTGCTTGTAGCGCACAACCTTTTGGCACATTCTTGTTAGCTTCTCAACCTCAATTTTTCAAATGGCAGCGCGCCGGATCCCAAGAAAGTCATCTAACGAGCGCTCAAGTTGCTTACTGAAATCGAGACATGCACAATTCATGAGGTTTGCCAGAGAGCGGAGCAAATGATAATCTGGTAGAGCGAGGTTTGGAGAATATTTTGGGTACTGAAGTACCTTCCACTCGAGTCGTGCAGGAGAGTTTTGACGACGTTTGCCGTATGAGGCCATGTTTCGTCATGCAGAAAAACTCGCTGGATTTGTCTGTTAGGCTTTTCTGCGGCAGGATCTGGTTTAAACCGTGCATTTGGATTGCTTATGGCGTGGTTGACCGTCGCCTACTTGTCCAGCAATATTCAGTGCAGGACGTCCTGCACTGAATATTGCTGAATACGTCCTGCCCGTCCCCCGAAAAGTCTTGTTCAGGGACATCCTGCTCAGCTCCTGCTCTTTTGTACCAATCCAATTCTTTTTTGTCTTATACTGATGAACAACGCCACGTTACATAATCGACACAAAAATCTGTGCAAAAACGCTTCTTTTCATAACGAAAAAGGCGCAAATGCCGAAATTGCTCCTTTTTGCCTTTCAAAATTTCCATCTTTGAAAGCTGCGAGATCCGAGTGAATCGGCTTTCCACCGAAATCAGTAGATGTATTTCAAAAAGCACAATCAGCCCTTCCAAACGATATATGCATCCCGCCGCAAATCAACCGCTCCTCAAAGATATGAGTACGAAAATAAAAACGCTACGAACTTATGGAACGACCTAATACTTACGCATAGATAGACAGCGCAAGATTCGGACAGCTGGAGCTCTGAAGTTTTGGGACATGAAGCCTTCTTTTGAGCTGCGATCCCCTCCCCCCGCGGGGATGTTAATGCATACGGCCTTAAAGTCAATTCAGCCAATTGTACAAGAACAGTGATGATTCATCTTGGTTCGGAGCTGAGTTTAACTATCTTCATCACTTGCTGAACTCTGTTTTAAAAAGAGTTACGACTATTATCATATGGCAAAAGGAAGTCGTCACAGCAGGATTCGTACTTGTAACCATTTGCCTGAAATGCACCGCTCCTACCCCTTCACCAACCATGTTTCGATGGGCGCTTCTTTTTTGTTACTCAAGCAATGGGCGCTTCGGATTCAAAAATGTTAAATATTCAAGATACCGTTTAGCAGATATCAAATGCAGATTTGCGCTTGGCGTTCCAAATCGAGATGAACCATACATTCTTGTTATGAGCGGCTGGATCGACCTAGTGTCCATTCTTCGTGAAATCTATGCACATAAAATCCCAGAGAAAAGAGATTATAGGGATATCCTATCGAGCAGGACACCATAGAATTGCATCCTCTTTTGAACAAGAATGTATCCGAAGTTGGTCATGTTTTTTCGTCACTATCCCTACACATTAAGCCTTCTTTAGCTGTGCGGTCATGCGCGAAGGCAAAGATTCGAGAAACAAGATAGGAAGGAGTTTGAGAACTATGTAGCGGATGTCTTCCCGATGAGGAAAGTACAAAGAAAACTTAGAAATACCAGAAACTTGGTGCGTTTTCGGATTCATTAGCCTCAAGGAAAAAGTCTACTACAGGTTCTATTCTTGGTTGAAAACTGTACTGCCTGGCTCTACCTTACCAAACCTATTGGTAACAGCTTGAAAGTCGCTATCTCGGACCTCTTCTTTCTGCTGCTCGACATTCAGCGACGCATTCCAGAAGACAGGTAAAATCGTAATCTCTCCGCGTGGCATCAAGTATCATTTCAGCAACGATTTTCTTGAACGAATGCATCACATGGAGGTGAAAGCAAGAGATCTCATTGCATTGATACAGCGATATAAGCTCAATTGGCGTAACTTTTGATCACCACTACAACATTTGCGACAATGAGTTTTATTCGATTTGAAGTACTAATACATGTAGTAGAGGAATCACTTATTGTTAGAACTAGATGCACAACTTTCTTTCTGGTTATCCTTACCTAAACATTAGTCTCACTTGCGAAGAAAATGCCGGAGGTGCGCCTATCTCCCCGAGTATAATTAATAAACTTTTCTTTTTCTTATGTAATTTTTTTCATTTTGCTGAATTTTCGAATGTCTTAAGAAACACCAACTGTGCGGCGAAAGTGCCCTAAATAAATATGAAATATGGCCGTTCGATACTGCCATCAAATCATATCAGGGAGAATTCAAACTACTAGTGATGTATCCTATAAATTTTACGCTAGTTATCCTGGTCGTTCCGTTCGGTATCTCCCATTGTTCATCATTCGAATCAAATGGTTCTATTCGATAGCCTAAGCTGTTTCTTGATTTTACTTTTATCAATACCAATCTCCTGTTTGTCTTTTGTAAAAATTCCTGCTCAAGAAGAGCGCTTAGTGGGACCGTTACAGAGGACTTCTGGTAAAATTACTTGGCAGTGTGACGTTAGGCATATCTTCGTGGTGAAAAGGGTACCAGTAGGTATTTATGTATTCGAGAGATTTTTTCCGAGGAGGGGCGGCGAAATGTTTATTTGAATGAACGTATGACGTAGCGTTAACCACCTCTTTAACAAAATTCTGGGACGCTTTACATAATTTTCGCGGGTCCATACCCCATACCCCTAAGCCTCCTCCCTCCACCCCCCCCCCCCGGGCTAAAATGAATGCATTTTTGAGACCAACTTCACACAGAATATCAGACTTTGATTAAAATGTGCTATCCCAAGGATATCCAATGTTTTACGCAGATTTGCACAAACCTTGGCTGGAATAATGTAACAAAACAAAACGAAAACCGACTCAAATATTCAGACCGCTTCCATTGCTTTGTTAGTGATGGTTCGAATTCAAAAGTGGCCAATGGCAAACACCATAATTGATCCACTACACCCAATTCGCTTACTTCATTTACTTCATTATTGTTCAGATCAGTGATTTGTCTAGCAAAGTGAAAATGATGAAGCTGATGAAGCGGGTCAAGTAGGGTACATAACTTCAATGTAAAGTGTTTTATTCCTTTGAAGTATGTGATTGCCCACCATTCGAAATATTTCGAACCATTGCTGTCATGGCAACGGTTTTTTTTATTGAGAGATTGCGAACGCGGAATGGAGCCGGAGCTCGGCACGAAGTGACCTTTGGAAAGTGCAAAAAACGAAGCCTTCCTTGACTTCACGAATTTTTACGAAGTCCCCTTTAACACTAAACCCTAACAAAAAACCCTCAAAAAACGAAGCGTCGACTAGAGAAAGACGTCGCAATTTTCGTGTCTTTTCGGCCTCGAAAACGATACCCCTTTGCTTTTTGTCCCAAAAACAATATCCAGCTTGCTTACAAGTCACCTGTGTCGAGCCCTGAATGAAGCGCCTGATAATCAGTTATGCACCCTCAATACTGTCCATTCGCTTGGTAATCACCATGAGCAGATCGGTAGAAGACAGCAGCAATTTGATGCTCCTTTGTGATGAGAAGTTGCAACAAATAGCTGCCTAGATAAAATCAAAATTATTTCAACCAACCTAACATGAATACGCGAAAAATGCAAAGCCTCATGCGCGATTGGCCAATACAACCATCGTTTTACATCGCAGCTCTTGTGAAACTCTGCAGCAAAAAGTTTTCAGATGGGTTCTTGGTTCGTTTATAAGCTGAAAGTGTAGTGCACGTAAGAATGACCGCTGAAGGTTTTCCGTCAACAGCGTAAAACTTTGATTAATAAATCTCAACAGCAGTGACTTTTGATTAATAAACCTCAAAGCAATGACCATATATAATTGCGCGTTTTGGATCGATTTGCAATTTTTTGTCGTCTATATGAAAAAGCTAGCGAAGAGCAGACCATTTCAGAAATAAATGTATCTTTTCTTTGTCAAGCAGCTTGTTTTTCAAGCTTTTACTTCGATGACTGCTTAAAAGCCCCTGAAAACTTTCTCGCGTCTATCATTTTCTAACTTGTATCATACATATCCGATATTGTAGGCTAACTTTTCGAGGTTTCTCCAACTTTCTTTCAATGATACTTTTTCGATTTTTGTGAAAGAACAGATTGGGCCGAACTGCTGTAACTATTATTTTCTCTGAGAAATGACAACAGATACATTTTTTTTCAATCCGGAGTAGGTGAACATTCTACGTGGTGCGCTGCTCCACGTGGAATGTTCTCACTGGCGCAGCGAGATAGCTTAGAATGAGAGACACAGACTGCAGAACAGTGCGAGTCGTTGCGAGGCGGATTTCCGCCAGTTCAATTTCCGCCTAAACTGAGTTGAAACTTAATATCACAAAATGTTCAATGCAGGCATAGATAGAATAGTAAACACATAAAAAAGAGCCTCAGAATTTTTTCTTTTGAGTTTTTCGAGCACTATCCGGTTTCTGGACTAAGAACAATACTGGTACTGCAACTACATTGGTGCCCTTGTCAGCAGTTCCCAAGGATGCCAAAATTATAGTGAAAGATCTCAGCAGAAATTTCAGCAAAAATTGAAATATGTTTTTGAGATGCGAGGCTTCAACAAGGAAGTATTGTAATGTTGCAAAAAAAAACAGACAGAAGCGGACATCAGCATTCGCGGATGCCAGAACAGAAACTATCATCACTTGCATATTGGAAACAAAACTCGATACATATCTTGCTAGCAAAAGAGAATATTCCATAACTCAGGCACCATAACGATACCGAAGTGAAATAAACGCCTTCACGCTAACAGTAAGACAACTAGATCGACTGTGACTCCATTACTTGCCATCATAGGGATCAGAAAGTTTATCTCCTTATCCCCTCAGATTTGCAAATGTATAAAGAGAAATCACATGGAGAAACATAAATATAATGCAGAAGAACAAATACTGTGCGGCGAATCTATTGGCGATGAGTTCGAAGGACGAAACAGAGACTGTGGCGATGAGACTTCAAAAACAACTACAAGAAAAATTGCCTAGAGTAAAACAAGTACCCTAAACAAGAACTCTACAAAATTAGGCATATTGTGAAGCTGGAAAAGGGATAGCATGCACCAAAGAAGCAAAGCACTTCTACACTGTTTGACAGTGCTGACCGTTTCCATAAGAGGCGTTTTCGTCAGCCGAGGATGTCGCCAATTTCGCAAACGTACCTTTGATTCAATTGGATTGGCTGCTTGCTACGAGGCCTAATCAAGGCTAGAGAATGATCGAAGAGCACGCTCGCGAGGGAGATGCAGATTACTTTGGGTGCAAGCGGTCGTCTCCCAGAAGCCAATCCCTTTAAATCGAAGGGTAAGCACAGCATTTGAGGTTGAGGTAGCTAGATATAGATTGCTATAAATAGAAATGCACACTCGAAAGTGATCATTATTCATTCGACGATTCTTCACAAGTCTTCTGGGTGAAGGGTGAGGGATAGTAATAACAAATATATAGTAAAGGTACAAGTCATCGTAGTAGTTTAGCGGTACTTTAGTACACTCACTTAAATCATAGGTGCATTTCATCATTGTCTTTATCTCTATGACTGATATTTTCTCAGAAGTTTTCGCTTTCAAGATGGAGCAGAACATGAATACGCTGAACACTAGAAAATCGGAAGGAGTTCAAGCTCAGTCATCGCTAAGCAACACTTTGCTGAGTGCTTATTGCATTTAAACACCAGTTTTTGAAAAGGTTCACAACTATGTGCACTTGTAACGCTGGGAATAGAACAATCACTTGTGCAAAGCCTGCTTCAATCACAAAGAATACAGAGTTTTAGAGAAAAGGAACAAAATTTTTCAAATTAAGTTGCCAGTTGATTACTCTATACTGCGGAAATGTGAAAATTTGCCGTTCTGCGCGGATTACCTCGATTTATAGCCTGCGCAGATAGAAAAAAAACTGAGGAGATAAATCGAAAGGGTCAATCATATGTTTTGATCAAAATGGCTTATTAACACACGCCCCATCTCATGCATTATTCCGCAAAATTTGGCTTACATTACGCCTGGTGTAGCAGCCAGCCGCCAGAGCTGGCACCAACGCCGCGGCTGAGCTACCGTAAGCGCGCTCTCGTCGTCCGCAACCTTTCCAGAGAGATTTTCGCAGCAGCCTCGCACCTCATCGCGCTGAGGTGCGAGAATTCCCTCAGAGGTCGCTTTACTGCCACATATTATATATCGATCAAGACAGCAGAAAATTTGTAGCTTATTAGTAAGATACAATACAAAGAATATATAAAAACAAAAAAAGTTCAGAGAAATATTGAAATAATTATAAAAGTTAAATTAAAAGCAAAATACAAGGCTGCAAAAGTTTTGTCCGATTTTCATTTGCCTTGTTTTAACGCAGCTATTTTCTTAAGGTTTTGCGCCTATGGCATTGTCATAAACATCATCTTGAAGTACTTTTCCTGCGCTTTTAGTGCAGTTTTCAGGCAATAAGAAATACACAAAAAATCTCATTACCTTCTCACTATCTATTTTTCTGAAATTTCCATTTCCTAATTATTCTTTCGAGCAGTCAAAAATAAGCTTGTATTTCGCGCGATTTATCTTTTGTGTGGTGGTAAATAAAATTGGGACCTGTAATTTTTTTCCAAACTTCCTTTATTCATTTTGAAATTCTTCACGAACTTCAAAATATACGCCACACATTGCGTAGACGGTGTATAATTGTCCTTTTTCTATCCCTGCTTAAATCGTTATGTGATTTAACTTGTGAACGCCGCTCCCGATCAGCGCTTTTAGTCCGATTTCAATGACTGTCTCAATTTTTTGAAAATTCGGAAGTCCCCAATAATCCGCAATAATTACATCGGAGTAGTAGATACGAATATTTGGAAATGGATTTGTAAAAAGGCATGACTGCATTTTGGCAGCTTTGGTTCGGGGCTTGAAATTTCAGGACTGGAAAGATGATTCGC